ATATCATCACATCCTCCTGTCTATGGTTACTATTTCTTCCCTCCTTGCAAAAGGGAGGAATCAAATTTCTGATTTTCTATCCTGTATACCAAACACCGGTGCTGATTCTATGGAGCTGTGATATCTGGTTTTCTATGTTTGGAATTTTTCCGTCTTCATAATGACATTCCTGCAGGTAAGAACTCATTTATGTCATGTTTCCAACCGTGTCTCTTTCCACACCACTCCTCCTCATACAGCCCCTCCATCTCTGTGCCTCCCAGAGCCCAATGCCTTTTTTTTCATCACATGTGACAGGTGCACCATGTGCTTCTCCAATAGCTGCAGTTTTAGGTCAGGACAGGTTTCTCACAGCAGTTTTGGAGCTGCCTATGAGGGGCCGTGACCAGCCCAAGGCTCTCCTTGGTCATTTCCTACAAAGACCCTGCTGCAGCCTCCTGCTGCCAAAACCTTCCCAGCTATGTCCACGCACCATCCTGTCAGATATTAATCATTTTAATTAAAAATCTACACTACTTCAGTTATTGGCTGGGATAGAACTCCCATGGTCTTCAGCATCATTTCATGTTTTAAGTGGCACCATGGAAAGGGAAGATGCCTGGCAAATGGGAAAGCAGAATCTGTGGCACTGACCTCCAGTGTACACAGGATCTGTGTATTCCCATCCACTATCTGAGGGCCCAAACAAAATAGGAAGGTTTTTTTTTGATCCAAGGTCCTGTGTTAGGTTTTATAGGTATTTATAGATGTTTTATTTTATGCTCATGGGCTTTGGCTGAGTGTTTCCTGTGCTTGTGTCTTGGCTTGACATGTCTTGTCAAGGACAGGTTGGAGAGCACTGAAGATGTTTCTAGGTACTCTACAGATAACCCTGGAACACTCCAGCTTGCTAATACCTATTCCGTTTTACCAGATTTTTAGTAAAACACTTGGAAAGTGCAAACCAGCTATCTGAATGAGTTTCTGAAAAGTGCTTGTGTATAGGTCCCAAAAGCTATCCAAAATATTATGACCTTCTTGGATTCTGCTTTTTTGAGGAGTTCYATTTATATATGGGGGTGCTTTAATTTTTTAAGTATATTGAGAGAGAAGTGAGCAGTGAATGAATGAAAGAGAAAATTTTTTGCACTATTTTTGAAAGAAYATGATCTAAAGAATATAAATTTTGTGTCATTGAAAAAGAGTTGTAGGGAGGATTGACACACAGACAGTTTATATTCACATATAATATTAGAAAATCAYTAAAATTATAAAAATGTCACTGCTRGGCTTTACCACAGAAATTAAACAYRAGATAGATCAGCTGAATMTCCCAGAAGGATGACACAAGAAAAYRAAAATRTTCCTTGAARAGAGCAATTCATATTAYAGTTATTGAAGAACAGATGAAGAGGAGAGTTAGTTACTCGATTGGCTGACCCTGAAAAATCATTCATAGCTTCTCATTCCTCCGTCATCAGCTCTTCTTCCTCCTATTTTCTCTGTTGGTCCTGCTCCTGCATCCCATKCCCTCACTGACCTACCCTGGCCATCCTGCCACCCTTGCTGTCCGTTCCCTCCGTCCATCATTTCTTCTTCCTTTTCTTTCCTGAGGTACCAGGCAGAGGAGTGGAACAACTCAGAGAGCTGCTGTAGGAGGAGTCTGAGGCTGAGGTATTTTTCCGGGTCTGCAGGGAATGTGGAGTAGCTCTGGATCATATCCTCTCTTGAATTGAACAATATAAGAAAATCTGTGAGGTGTTGCTAGCTGAGTAGGTTCYGTGATGTAACTGTGCTGAGGACAGGAAAAGTGATGTTTTAGAGATGTCTGGAGAAATTGTGACATCCTCTGCAACGGCCTCCTTGGAACACCTTTGCAGTGATGTATGTTAATATAAATATTTCCAAAAATATCTGAAAGGTGAAAAATATCTGTGCCTATTAAAAAATATGTTCATTAACTATGAATCAGAGGWCATCTGGAGGTCAGAAATGGAAAAATATTTGCTTAAAGAAGAAAAAGCAGATTAAATGCAAGAGACAAAGTRAGTGGGTACTTTAAAACACAATAGGAAAAGTGCTTTGAGATCAATAGGCAGTAATGGGGTACATAATCGCCATCTTATATTTAGCCATAAAACACACCTTTTCGAACAAGCTGTCAGAGCTGTCATGTTACCAATGATTGTTCTTGCATTACTTACTTCTATGAGGATAAAATAGTCAGAGTTTAGTTCCTCTTAATATTAATTGACATAAATCTTAAAATAAGAAGTCAGAGTCTGTTTATGACACCACTTACTATTCAGCATGAAGACTGAAGTTCAAGCAGTTACAAATGAGAACTGCAAAATGCTTAAGATATGGAGGAAAAAAAGTGAATGGTGATTTACACAGTCTGGCTTCAAAACAATCAGTCATAAGTAAAACAAAATTAACATATAAGTGAACGGAATAAAATCCAGCTACTAAAAGATCACTCAGCATTGAAGTGTCAGACCTAGGATCCCATTTGCTTGTTCAGGGGAGTTGTCTTCTATAGATTCMACAAATTACCAGTTTCAATCTTCTGCAAGTGTTGGAGAAATTTTACAGACTTTGTGTTTTTACCTAGCCTCATATTAGATACCCTGAGAGAGATGACTTAAATAATCTATTTCAGGAGATTTCCATGGACATATAAATGTTTATAAACAATTATTTTAATTTCTTTTCTGCAGTCATTTCTAGTGATTCAGAATTATTGTTGTCACTATTTCTTCTTCAATTCTTTCTGGGTTTTTTTTTTGTATTGTGACACTGATCCATGAGGTTCAGATTCAGATCTCAGACTTGGACAGCTAGATCTCTCTTAACTAGAGAATGATTTTATTGTACAATACAAGAATTCCTACCGCACTAATTTCATTATTTATCATTTTGCCTCATTCTCCAAAGCATTTCCACACCCACATCCTACCACCTACCTTTTGTTAGCTGCCAATACATGAAGAATGGAATTTTAAAACTAATTTTCTTTATTTATATTATGCAAAAAAAAAGTAGAAAAAAAAAAAAAAAAAAAAAAAAAAAAAAAAAAAAGAAATCTTCATAGCTATTGGTCCAAAAATGCACAGAAGTTAGTAAAGCTTTTCTTTTCATACATTCATCTTAATACATCAAATGTAGTTATCTTACAAGACATTTTTCTTTGTAGCTAATAGAATATTTCTGTCAATACTTAGCCTGCTTCATTTTATCATTTATTTTATCATTTTACTGACTGTGGGTTTTTCTGAGGGATCTGAGAGCTGATAACCTTTCCACAGTTCAAAGATCCTGGTTCTGCCAGCAGGAATGGTACGGAGTGCCAGTGTCTGGCTGCCAAAGGCAGCAGGTGCTTTGACTCACTCATCTGTCCTGACTCAAACCACAAGATATTACGCTGCACATTACACACTGGGAGCTCAACTCAGACCTAAGAGTATCCTGTGCCGAGTTCACTTAGATACCAATGAAAAATTGCTAATATGAGAGCCCGGAATTCAGCTTTGCAAAGCCTGGAAGGAGGCTTTACAGCTAAGTGCCTACAGCAGTAAGTCATACCAGTGAAGGATGGTGTACTTTACCCACCTCTTTCCAGTTACCCAGATTTACCACAGCTTCCTGACATGCTTTGAGCTTGCAGAAGCCTGTGGATTGTGTCTACTGACACTACTTAGGTCACTTTTAAGAAGAATTTAACCACTTTCTGAGCTCTATGGACTATATGAATTCTGTATCTAGGAGTATGGGAGACCTTTTGCATCTTGAAACCTGATGAAATACCTGATAACACCCCAAATGATGCCAGATACCTATGCTTTAGCAACTAAATTCTGCCCCAGATCTCTACTGCTGATAGTATACGCTCACAYGTAGACACTACCCTGACTCTGTGGRTATCCACCTTTAGTTACTCCAATGTACCAGAAAAAGGTATTAAGGAAGGTGGAACATGAAAACCCCTTGTATCTATTGCCAGAGCTCAGGGCTATATGAACRTAGATCTTATTTTTAGAAAAATTCTGTCAATATTCAGTACATTCAAACCCAAACCATCAAAAATCAGAGATATTTTCAGAAAAGAAGACAGATGTCACTGATTTCAAGACTGTATTTGTGTCAAAATACTGTCCAGGTTGATGCCATTTGCAAGATTATGTAACTGTAGGAGGAATCAGCATAGTGAATTGCTATTATCTCTTTAATTTATAATAAAGCAAGTAAAATTACTGTTTATTCTCTAAAAGCACATTTCAAGCACAAGTTCATGATTGAAATGCTCATTAAATTCCACYATTTTATTCTCTGTACATATGTGTAGGAAAATAACAGAAAGGTGTACACTTGTGAAATGCACACCTGTCTTTTAGTGTTTTTTCTCATCTGGGATAACCTTACTAATTGAGTAAATTATTTCCTATATGTTCCAGGTAATTGGAGTAAAAATATTTTGTCAGATATGAATGAATAATTCACAGTGTCTCATCACTGAGGGTAAGATTCCCTCTTCCCTGACTTTAGTCATCTACAACACATAATATCTGAATTATTTTCCCTAGATCACCTCTGTCAGTGGAGAAAAGATCAACACTYATGGCAGTGCATTTTCATTTTCCTTAATTATAGAAGGATTTTGTAGTGGTTAGTTCAGACAGGGTCTTCTGCATGATAATCACCTAAGATTTTTGTTGCCAGCCAGGCATGTTCCCACCAGGACTAGGATGAGAAGTGTTTAAGGAAATCTTGTCAATTTGGAAGAAARTGTGATCTGTCAATAACTCAGTCAACACACACACGATTTCCTGATATAAATAAAATAAATTAGTTTTAAAATTCCATTCTTCATGTATTGGCAWCTAACAAAAGGTAGGTGKTAGGATGTGGGYGCRGAAATGCTTTGGAGAATGAGGCAAAATGATAAATAATGAAATTAGTGCSGTAGRAATTCTTGTTGTTTCAGGACTGAGRYRCTTTTMTGTCAAGCCAAAAGGTCATTTCTTTTAGCTGTGATACACAGCAGGTGCTCCTGAATTACCATCAGTCTGTAGATGTAAATTGTACACTTGGTGGTTCTGAATTGCTGGCTGGTGATGCAGCTTTGAGAGCATGTCAGGGAAGAGACTGAGCTTTACTACATTTATTGACATGRAGGTCAATCAGATTTTCTTTTGCCTCCAGTACAGTTTTCCATAGTGATGGCTAACCCAAATTATCTATTTCAAAAGCAGAGTGTGTTTYTCTCTACCAATGACACGCATTAAATATAAGGTAACAGCTATTATGTACTCAGGCAAGTTTTATGCATTAATAATGTGCTTACCATTACCAGACAGCACATGCACTCTCTCAGGCCTGCATCAGTGATCTGACTACACTAATAGCTGCTTTGTGGTGACAAAAAAAACCTCATGATTTTTAAATTATTGAATATTTTTCAATAAAATTACTTTTATGGTTAATGTGCTTCTGATGTTGGCATCCATTATTTTCTGTAAACACAGAATGAAACCATGGAGGAGGATCCTAGTCCTCCTTTTACTTTCATATATGTYAACATAAAATAGCTGCAACAGTGTAAAATAGGAGCAACATAAAGAGGCCAGAGATGTCTAGCTCAATACAAACTTGATTTCTGTATCTCTTATGTGTTCTCTGCCATGAAGAAATTAGTAAATGCAACATAGTCATTCCATACTTGGAAAAAACTCACCTGTTTTCTATGGTGTAGCAAAACAGTATTACTTTCAAGGTTATTTTCAATATCAGGAATTTAATGGGAAAAGAGTCACRTTTCTTTTAAGAAAATAATGATAAGACAATCTTTCTGTTGGATGCAGATTTCTCTCTGTATAAGTAGAAGAAATTCACACACTATGCCTAAGAAATGRAAATGTTACCAGAAAACTTTAATATATATCATTCTATCATTCATAATTTTTTTTCCTGGCTCATTGTTTGACTCAAGYTGACTATGTATTTAAAACAAAACCTTTCACTAATGTTGAGGGACAAAKCTGAAGGATGCCCAATAGTAACAATATACTAAAAACTTCTCCAGCCACCACAAGCTCTGCAGCAATGGCAGATGATTCTGGGGGATTTTTATGGAAAGGACATGCTTTAGGTTGTATTATGAAAATCACAGTTCACTCATGACCAAGAGAAACTGATTTTAATAGTTAAGTCTCCAAGGTATTGATCCTCTAGCCTCATCACCTGCAGCCTGACYCAGGCCTTCCTGCTGTCACCCTTGAAATGTGATACCGTCTTTGGCTTTCCCATAATGTGCACTAGGAGTTCTGGGAAAGTCATTTCACCTAAAATTTTTATGGAAAACTAAAAATTGTGTGTTTCTCATTTTCTCTGTATTGTAATGTGAGACACTAAGCTCTGATTCTCAGATAGACTAAGCCAATGACAATTGCAAATGAAGTCATGTCACATGGATAATATGTTGCACAAGCTTGTGAACTCTGAAAAATGAGCTTCTATTTCCAAATCATCATTCAAAATTACTGAAAACACTGCATCTCATCTTAGTTCCAGAGCCATAAAACTGAGGTTAATATCCCCTCCTACTGCTCTGAAGTTTCAAAATGTATTGTATCAGGGCATGGAGCTATCTATACAACAATACAAAGAAAATAAGCATAACTACTCATCAGTTTGAAAATAGTAACTATTCACTGCTATGCGAGAAATAAAGCATGGTGACCTTTCAATAACATGCAGTTATTGAAAGTTATACTTACAGACAGAATTGTTAAAAAGACAATTCTGGCTGTCTTCATTCTGCCACTTCCCTGCTTTTGAATACTCAGCTTTGTGATTCTAATCTTGTTCTTTTGAAGTGGGGGTTGGGTTTTTTTTTTTKTTGTTCTGCAGTTTCAGCTGCTAAGACAATAGGATCTACTTAGCATGAAGCCTCTGTTTTCCTATAACGACATGCTGGAATTTTATGTCCTCTAAGGACACAGTTTTAATAAGAGACAAAGGAGAAAGGGCTCTTTAGCACCCATGCAGACTGGATGACCTCCTCTTTATTGTCTAAATAAGTGGGCAGCTCTTTGGGGGAAGGTAATTCTTACCTCACAGGCCTAACGCCATGGAGGTTCAAGGAAGTTCAAGGTGGTTGTATTGGGTTCGCTTGATTGGTCTCTATTTTCTTTCTGCTCTTAGTTCAAGCACCTGTACAAACTTGTGAGAAAGGAAATTATCACTCATTCTCTATTTTATGAATAATGTGATTATTAAAACAAAATTCAGTGCTTTTGTCTCCCAGGTGAATGCTCAAACCATTAGGATGCAACTCAAGCTACCTTTCATTTATTTTGAAGTTCAAAAGGACAATTTTGAATTTATTAACCAAATTATGATTTCAACTCATGTCTCCCAGTGTTTGGGTCAGAGCTGTTGTATAAATGATGAGGTCTGTATCTTCCATCAGTCTTAGTATAAATGAGAATCCATTGTCATTTTCTCTGMAGACCTTGGTTCTGCCCATTCATGCAAAAAAATCTTTAGAAAGCATCTGGATTAGCCATTATAAAAMCAGAGAGGATTTTCTTTGAAAGTGAACTAGGGCTGAATTGCTAAGATAAGACAGCTCAGAACAGACCTGCAGCCTCACAGGCACAGTGAAACAGAGSGCAGATACCTCTAGCCTTCAGCTGTGACACATAATTAAGATGTRCATAAGGTATTAGTTGAACATGAGTAAATTCATTCCAAGTATTCTCTGTCCATCTATTTTTTTTGTTTATTGTCCTCTATTCTTTGTCAAGAATTTGGCAAAGTATTGCAGGTGAGTAAAATTTCCCAGACTTGCCAGATRTAGATCAGGTGGGCTGAAGACAAAGCAGAGATCTTCAAGCAACTCTGCTGACTCTATTGAGTCCACTGACTTAGGCAAGTTGGAGAATGCTCTGTGAATCTTGGAGCCAGGAGTGTTTGCAGAGTGGACATGGAATCCAGGAGCCAGGGGTGCTTGTCACAACCTGTAAGCAAAGCATGCTATCTTTGTGTCAACATAATTCGTGTTGATTGGTCCCATCTAGCTTAAATCACTACAGTTTACAGAGGAAGGCACAGCTGTCTAAACCCAGCAGTGTAATAATTTAGGCTACCTACTCTTTAAAGTATTTTTCTTCACTGCTTTAGAGTGATCTTTAGCAAACAGCACATTGGCAAGATAGGTTCATCTTTAAATCTTACTGGGTCTGTCTGGACTGCCCGCAGCTCTGACACATTGTTTCACATGGGAAAGTGATGGTTTTGGCCCATCCTTCACATATGCCATGTAAAATTCTACACTTGCAGGATGGATTTAGAAGGGTCCATTGTAGCTACCTGGAATGAATGTGTATACCCACACAAATTATTAACTGAATTTTGTTCAGGAAAGTGAGTACTTTCAATCAGAAATAGTCAGGACGTACCGGTATCCTAGATACAAAAGGGGCTTAATGATGCCAATCACAGTTTGTATTCAGTCCTTCCATATAAAACCCACACAAACAGGAAACAAAAATCCTATATTTTCCAGGCCAATTTCTGACAGCAAATAGTGATATAATSGCACTCTGATAACATGTTCTAGAAAAAAAACTGCCAAAGACATAATTTCTTCAAATTAGTGGCATTCAACTTTGTTCCTTGTGGGGAACTTTAGATTTTACTCTTAGATAAGTCATTGTACTAAAATTTGAGGTCATGGAAAAACCGTTGCTTTTATATGTGTTAGCTTCAGTCCCACACATGAACCCCATCAGCCTCAGTTGTTTGTTAGGTATAATTAATTTTGAAAATGTACCGTGCTGAATAAATCGTATGATGCTTTACGCACTTTGCAGTTATTTGTATCCATGTTCCATTTACTCCTTTTTTTTGAATAGCAACACGTTAATCCATCCTGAGCAAAGAAGAAAAGGTAAAAAAAAAATCCCACGAGTGACTGCAAAATGAAATTACTTTGTTAAAATATAAGGGAGCCACAAGCTTCTGGCAGTAATCTGAGATATTTTATGGCAAAGCCTGAAAGGCAGAGGTCCAGGCATTTGAGAAYAGGCCAATGAGTGAAAAAAGGGAGCCTTGAAGGAAGCTATTACTGAATGTATGCTGAGAGAAGTTGCCCCTAAGAAGTCAGTATCCTGCTTATATGAAAGGATGGGCTTGCACAACGGTCCCTGTTAATTTTAAAAACACAATTTTTAAACTTTTAAGCTTAATCCCTTTAACGCCTTTGCCAAATTTGTCTCATAACCCAAAGGGCATCAAATCCAGATCCTCCCAAAAATTGATAGGTGCACACAGTTAATATTCTAACTCACATTCAGACCAAATTTGCCCTCAACCGATAAAAATAGCTTCTGGGTATTTCTCTCAAATGAGCACCATATGAAAAGCTGCACTTCCATATGATTCTGGGTCAAGAAACAAATTATTTGCAATCACGAACGCTGGTTTGCCAGGTCAGCAAGCTATGAAAAGYGTGTGACAGATCTATAACCATCCAGCTGCTCTGCCATTACATGACCAGACCCTGCAGCAAGTGGTGTCAGCAGGGATAAGGGAACTAAAACCCCTGTATATCCCAAAGATAATGGAACCTGACTCTACAAGCATATTGGGAGTAACACTTCTACCTGTCCTTTACAGCTCCCCCCTCCACAAAACTATCCCTYATTCTTAAAAGAGCTTTCAAAAATTTGTGACTCATAGAAATTAACTGGTTTTAATTAATAAACAGTCTTTTCACAAAGCTGAAATTTAAAGAGACTCAAGAATGCAGATTTTTGTGTATCTTTATACCACTGTGCATTCCACTGAAACTGAGATTAAATGCTGTGTGAATAGTTAATCACATGTATAATGYCTTTGTTATGTCAAAATCTTGTTTATTTTTTCACAATATTCTCTTTTAAAGAAGTAAGATGTGCAGATTTAAACAAGGATTTTAAATGGATTTGAAAGAGTCATAGGTGACGCCAAGTTTTACTTTGAAATTTTGAAGATTGTAGGATTCCTGTATACGTATCCATACAGCTGGAAATATGATGATGTTTTCTTCTAGATCTATCCTGTACACAGAAACTCCAGAGCTTTGTGGATCTTGGATGAGGTCTTTATTCCTTGTTTTAAGTAGGCTAAAGTTGATCTTTTCTCTATTTTTGTATAAAAGGATTAAAGAAGTGGTATCAATTTGCAGTATCTATTTAGCTGGGGACAAGGACTGACAGACGGTATAGGAAACACCTCTAAGAGAACCCTTCAAACCTCTTATTTGTGGYTTACAGTGTCCTGGAGACACAGACTGGATGGACAAGAGAGGCATTTTGGAGAGAAAATGCCAGGCCATGCATGAAGGAAGCTGCTRTCATTTCTAAATTACATAAATACARGTTGTCTGACCTTCTGTTAGACTTCACATTTTTCCTTAAAATGTCATATCCGCACAGGCAAAGATCTCTAGCTGGAGCTGGCTTACAGATCAACTGCAAGGTTTGATTTCCAACCTCTAGGCAGCAATCACTGCAGCAGTGGCATTAACTCATGCAGCGCTGGCCACAGTCTGGCTGTTCACCAGTGGACCAGTCAGAACTGGAGCAGGTTTTCCCAACTCCCTTTTATCCCAGGTTTCTCGGTGCAGAGGTTCAGACATAGCTAAGCAGCCAGTGCCTACCAGTTGCACTCCTCTCCTCAGGTCCTCCTGAGCTTCCTGCCATTCTCCTTGTGCTTGCACTCAGTGAGAATTCCTGCAAATAGCACAGCTAAAGAGTGGTGAATCACAGCTCTGCCAGAACATTGCAGGCTCTTTATTGTCTGGGTTTTTTCCCCTTCTGTGAATTTKTTTTCTTACAGCATCTGATATGTATTTGCACAAAGTTAACCCCTCTGTTTCCTGACAATCTTTATTGTTCATATATCAACCCTCTGCTTCTGCAGAGGAGATCTGCTGGCAGATAGAAGAGGGCAGAGAACTGTCACTACCAAAAAACCTTCCTGCACTTGGAAAGGTTCTCATTCACAGTCAAAATGTGTGGATGCTAGTAGAAAAATGTGAAGCTTAATAGATTAATGTAGAGTTGGTGTGGATAAATCCATACAGGACATTACTCCCAGCTAAACAGAATCATTAAGAAGTGGGATTGAGGGTCAAAGACTGCTCTGGGGCATTTAGAGCTGAGGTTTAATAGGATGTGACTCAGAAGCTACATCGACCCCCCCTCCACGGTGGCACTTCACTACAAGTTGTAATGTGGCTCATATTCCAAGACCTCTACTCTGACATATTCTGATATCCATGTGTTTGTCCGCTTCCTTCCTTCTTTTAAAGGTCAAAGTTATTTGGTTTCACTCCAAGGGGAAGACGTGAATGGCTAAAAAAAMCAGGCAGAAATATCAAACTGAAATTACTTTCCTCTATGATAATATTAAAAAACATCCAAAAAGATCTGCTCTAGGAAAGGAACAGCTTTCCTCACATAAATGTTTGAATCATTTAATACATTTTCAGGATCATGGTGCACTTTGTTAATGTCCCTATTGAACAAAAGAATTATCTGCAAAGCAAGCTGTACATAAGCAATGACCATAAGGTGCCTAAAATGCATTGGAAAATAATAAAACTATTTAAGTTGCTGCTACTAGAGTTACAGCTACTAGTTTGGGCAGTAGTTTTGGGGGGTGATTCTATTCTCAGGATAAGAAATTTAAACCATCTGAGGAAGGTTTTTTCTTCCCACATAAGGATGTGGCATTAAAGGCAGAGAGAAACAAATGGTCAGCACCTTCAGTGTATATTCTGAATGCAGAAGTAACAGAGAGGACTGGTTTGGGATGATTTTTGTTGTCAGTAAAATGCTGCACAGGTAATAAAAATCAAAAATTTGACAGCTGTGTTGAGGTAATATCTCTGCTTGCATAGTTTCCCAAGGAAAAAAAAAGAAAGTTCTGCTCGTCTTATTAATCTGAATTCAATTCTTGTTTTCMGAGGGAAATGTGCAGTCTTTTCAGCCACTGCTGATGTGAGTCAGTCACTGGTCTCTAGAGATTCCTTCTGCCTCATAATCCCACTGCAGYCCTGCTCAGGAACAGAGATCTTTCTATAAGAGTTGCAGCACAGCTTTTCTTCCATATATATTGATGACTTCTGGAAAAGCAATGAAATAAGGTCTTTACAGTTCCTATATGATCCACCCTATTTTACCTCAATGCAAAATCATATCTGGTTTCCTTACATTTAAGGGGACTTTTTCTCAGGAGTAGGTATGGGTACCTGATCTGAGATGGGATTCCGGACTCATCTGTTATTGTACTTCTGGTGTTCCTAACATGAAGCCAGRTGCATGTATATGAAATAAGTGAACAGATTTTAATAATAAATAATAATTTTCTCATGCATGGAAAAGCATCCTGTTCCTGACATTGCATAGAAAAATCAAAGAAGTTACACAACATTCTGTGTTCAGCTGTCACCTGTGACAATTGACTGGCCTGTCCCTGTCATATCACTCACCCACCAGGAAATCAAGTTTGCATAAGTGCTACCAGCACTAATTTTTGGACACTACACAAAGCCCTCTAGTAGCTCTCCTATCCTTTTCCCCCAAAGTACAATCCATTCAACTGATTGCATCGTTTGTCCCTCACCTTTGAAGATGGTCATTTGTCTTTCTTCTTTCATCACAAGTGTTTGGGGCTCAGACTTCCCCAGAGTCAGACCAGCCTTCATCATTCAGACACCGAATTCTGAGGTGTGGTGGCCGTCGTGCAGAACAAGAGCCAATTCAGTGTTGCTGAGGGCGTTTACAATCTTCAATCACGTTTGTTGCTTTATTGGTCTCAGTAAAAGCACACAGGAGCCAAATGCAGTGCTGAATCAGAGCCACAGGTAGTAAGTCAACTAAATGAAAAATTAAATGCTTTACAAAAAGTATTTAATTACATATTGCCCGAGAGATGTACATCTTTGCCAGTCCACTCTTTCTTCTCACCATTTGCTGGCTGTCCTATTTAAAGTTCACTATTCTAGCAGCTGGAGCTAGGCAAAGTGTCAGGAAAACCTAACTCAGAACAGCAGCCATAATTTGCCCTCTTTCTCAATAGCTGTTTTTAATATTCTATATGAAAGTGGAACCCTAATTCTGGTCTTGATTTCTGAGCTCATTCTAGTTTCTCTTGCTYTTTTCCTGCAAAGAAGAATGGTATGGAGAGAGACATGACCTTGAAAGATTAAGATTATGAGTACTTCTGGGTTTTGAAAAAAGAAATTATTCTGAACATTTGATTTTTTTCCCCCTGGAAAATCAGTGTTTCAAAATTTTGATTTGTCAAAAATATTTTTCACCTAGAACAGAAAATTCATGAATCCACTCCATATGAATAAATTATAACAGTTACATCAGCTAAAGATTTAGAAAGACCATGCATCTTCTCAGCTTTTCTCAGAATTTGAATTTCCTTCAAACAACCATACTCTGCTATTCTGTGGCTGTAATATTTTTCATGATGCTTCTTTCAGTGCACCTTTAGCTCTGACATGTCTGCTTTTCACTTTGCATCTTTGATTTCTTGAGGAGTACTGGAATGGGCATCAGGACCCTGACAGTGCCCARGACTTTAGTTTCCATGGTCCCTGTAAAGAGCAAACAGTGAAGTAGGAGATGAGGRAGGTGTAAATGAGTGGCTCAATGAGAATTAACAGCAGAAGCAGCATCTAGTTTAAGACAAAAAAAATGGAGAACCGATGTATGAAAAAGAAGGGAGAAATGTAGGAATGAATTGGAAAAGGGATAAGACAGAAGGAAGCGTAGGCAGAGGTTGAGCTGGCTGCCGAGCTGCTGCTTGGAGGTCGGAGCCACATAACTTTTTATTCAGCTGCACATCCAAATATTGATCCAAAGTCAAATGTMCACATCCACCGTGTTTATTGATGTGTAAAGGCTTTAGACACTATATCAGCAGGCTTCCAAGAAATCCCTAATAGAGAATGATAGATAGCCTGGCTCAATTCTGCTCTCTCTTTTGCTCAAGACTGGTCAAGTATCCAGAGAGAAAATGTAATACCTGTTTTGATATTATCTCTYCCCATACATAACATAAGTGCATAACATACACTTAAACACCAGGACAAAATACTCTAAAATATAAAAGCTATAGATACATGAATAAAGGTTGGATTGCTTTCTAGTTTAATTTTAGATGACCTTGTTTTTATTGTATATATATATATATATATATATATATATATATATATGGAGTACTCAAAAAGGAAATATCACAAACCAGTGATATATTACTTTATTTCTTAGTTACTATCTTCTCCCCCAGTAATTGAAAAAAAATCATTGGAAAAGAGATATTTGCCTTGAAATGTCAAATTTAAATGTTAAGGATGAATTTATGTCTACAATGCATGAAATATATTTGGGAATTCAGCTGAAATGCTCTTACAGTGCCATCTGCTGAAAAACAGCTGAGGCTACAAAGTATTTGGCAATTAATTCTGGCTGAGATATCTGCAGATTCTTGGTCCTGGGTAACTTCAGTTTTTTATGCCCTACATTATCACAGCACCAAATCTGCAGGGCAGGCATGAGGGAAACGATGAATGCTGCATTTGCCGACATGGGTCAGTGTATAGYACCACTGGAAGGGAAGCAGGTACTCAACTGTCTCAAAAAAGAGGATTAAAGCATGCTTAGGGTTTAAATTGGTTTCTGTACATGCACAGCTCAAAGGCTTGATGTCAGCATCAATTTTTCTACCCTCTGTCAGGCTGCCTCTCATAAAGCAGCCTAAATTTAATAAGCTCTAATAAGTTCAAGAAAGAAAAAAGCTGGTATGCATTGGTTAATAMATTTTTTAACTCACTTCAGCTCTCTTCTAGAAATGCTTGTCAAGTATGTGACTAATTCTTTTCAAATGAAGAAGATAGACTGCAGGGATTAAGGYAAGCTTTTGTCAGAGCCTGAACTTGGTCCATGTGATAACAGCCCACTTGTCTGAASCCAAAGATGATTCTTTATCCTTTTTTAATCAGAGTTTCAAATTGGTTCTTAATTAGAGCTGAATATTTTTGTCCTGCTTGTCGTGTTAAGCATACTCATCCTTAACTATTTTTATATCACAACAGAAATTCTTTGACTTCTCAGTCCACAGTCAAATTTTCAACTCACTTAAGATCTGGTTAATAAGCTGTGTGTATATATCTCCATGGGAAATGCAGAGGTTTTTGGTGCACATACAGATGTAAGGCATCTTTCAGTGAAAATCAGATTCTTTCTTCCCCCCCAACAGACTAAAGCAACGTTTGAAAATGCAGCTTGAAATGCAGGTTATTCGGTATTACCTTACTGCTTGAAAAGWTTTCAATGGTCATTTCAAGAAGAACAAAAGATATTCCAGCAATTAATCACAAGCTGCACCCTGTCAGAGTGGACGTTTCATAAATAACTAGGAGGCTGGAGTTCTTTTTCACATGTTCTGTCATGAATAATTTAGACTTGTAAAAGCAAAGTCAATCAGTAACTCGCTGAAAGAGAAGAAGACTGAATTTCAATTAACTCTGCCAACCAGCATGACTAATTCTGCCCACAGTTCAATGGATGTAGGACAGGCACAAGTTTGCTCCTAAATACTGAGCAGAGTATCAGTGTCTGTTAAGTGACAATGTTCAAAGGAGTTTGTATGATTTATTGCTGCTAAGTGATATTGGTGTGAATTGCCTAAGCTAAGCAAAAATGTGTTTAAGCTTGTGTCTTCCATCTTTGTATTTTGRGGGTTTAAAYTCGTGTGTAACTGATTCAGAGACCTGAGCTAATCTCCCTAAATTCCTCCTATGGTTTCCATAGTAAGATGTTCTTACTCCAGAGGGTAAATCTTAACAATTGAATTTTAACTCCATTKTTGACCTGTGCTCTGGCTCTTTCCCTTTTCTCTCTTTGCTATTTTTTTAGTTTTGAAGAAATGTAGGCAGATTAGCTTCTGGAGTCTCTGTGAATGTTCATTCAAACTTTTCCTTTTTTTACCTTTGCCTTTCTTTGTCAAAAGCTCTGCTGAACACCATAATGATAAACCAGTATTTTAAAAAGTACAAAGAAGGTCTGGAGTATATGATTCTTATTTATCTCATTACAGATTTAGCTTCTGTAGCTAAAAATTTTCATGTTAAAAAAAAAATCACAACCCTCCCATATTCTTGGGGCAAGCTATTCAAAATATGGGCATAAGTATCTGAAAGGTTTTGTAAAATTTGACATGTGTCTGWGGGTGCCTTACTAGTCTGAAATTATAATTCAATTTTCACAAAATTGTATTTCAGTCAAGAAAGAACACTGTGCAATTTGCTAAACACGGCACTGTCTTGGGTGAAATTCATCTGTTTCCTGACGATGGTGGCTATAGAAAGAGTTTTAGTAATTAATTTAAAGTTTTTAATCAGTCCACCCTGTTTATGAACCATACCCTAAAATAAGACTGACTTCTATGAAAGAATCAGTAGATAACTGCTGCATATTCTTGGAGTATTCTGAATTGTCTTCATGGTTGCAGCCAGCCTGCTCCTCTTATCTTTTTCTGCTTGCACAAATGGATTATTTCCAGCAGACTTTGTTTTGAAAAATGCCCTAATTTTTGTATTGTTGCTACAATAATAGTAACAAGAGTAAGCTTAGCTGCTTATTTTGGCTCACAGAAACAACAGACTCAAAAATGTAACTGATGGAAGAAATTGTGATATCTCCCAGAATGCTGCAGTATTTAAAGAACAAAATAAATAAAAAATGCAGATACTTCCCAAGTGTWACCATTGCTTAGCATGGTGGCAGAGCCTCACCATTTGTTTCCCTTTAGATTCAGTAACTTTTATACAATTATAGGGCAAGATCCAAAGATCACTATAATTCATGGACCAGCTCATCAATACTCTACAATGATTAAAGAGATCAGTACTTGGCTGCAGCCTACAWCTACAGAACAATTGGAAATTTTTATTTTGGTCTCCTCAGGTACTGGAAGGCTTCAATAAGGTCTACTTGGACTCTTCTTTTCTGAAGGGTGAACAACCCCACTCTCTTAGCCTGTTTTCACAGGTGCTCCAGGCCTCTGATCACCTTTGKGCTCCTCCTCTGAACTTGCTTTASTAGGTCTGTGTCTTTTTTMTGTTGAGKGTCCCAGAGCTGGATGCAATGTTCCAGGTGGGGTCTCAGAGKGGAGYAGAGRGGCAGAATCCCCTCCCTCACCCTGYTGKCCACACAGCTTTGGATGTAGACCAGGATATGKTGGCTTTCTGGGCTGKGAGCACAAACTGCCTGGTCATGTTGAGCTTTTCATCCCTCAGCAACCCCAAGTCCTTCTTGGCAGGGCTGGTCTTTTCTCCATTATTCTCCATTCCGTACTGATATGCCCCATACAAGTGGGAACCTCACAAGGATCCCATTGGGTCCCTTTAGGGCATCATTTGGCATCACTGGGATCCCCCGGCATCCCTGGTCTCAAATGTTCTTTAACAGACAACAGCCACACAACTGCACTTCTACGTATTGACACAACCTAATCTACAAGTAGGGAGCAAAAATGCCTTTCATTTTAAATTACACTAGAATTTACTGCTTTATAAATAAATCATTCTAGAGGCATTCTTTCAAAATGTGCCACAGAAATACTCTCCCTGCATTTTACAGGCCCCGACAGGTTTGCTTCTGTAGGGTACAAGTTTYCTGAATAAACAAACGATTGCTTCATTATTTTTGGAAGTCTACACAGTGCTGCTCTGCACTGCACCAGAGCCGAAACATTGTTTATGTGCACTCTGCCAGCTATCTTCAAGATGCTTAATGTTCTTATGCTCTTCTGCCAGCTCCTGTCCTAAATT